GATCACAAAGAGGAAATTCACCGAGCTGAGAGAGGGCAGTTACAACCGACCAGCAAGAGGGTTTGCAAACCCATCTGTGTGGACCTTTCACAGCATTGTGCTGCAGCACAGGCGGTGGGGGGGTTTCTCTGGGCAATGCAATCTCCTCTCACAAGCAAAGCACGCCTTAAAAAAAGGAAATGGCCAAACCATCCCAATGCAGGACCCTCCTGAAAAGAGAATATTGAGAGAGTGAGGCTTTGCTGGATAAATAAACCACCCCTATTCAAGTCCAGGCTCGATACTTTCCTTTTTTTTCCCCAATGCCTTTGACTGCCACTTTTTCCCTGTAACCTAACAATGCCCACTGGTTTCTCCGGTCTCTTGAGATGCAGTGGCATTCAGATGTTATATAAATTCAAATTGTAGAGTAAATATATTACATTATGTTGCAGCACTCTCTCTCTCTCGATGACTTGGCAAATAGTACTATGCCTGCCAGTCACAAAGCACAAAAACAAAACTGGCATCAGTTCCAAGTTCAAAATGCTAAGCCGTTGACTCGATTTTAACCACAAACTGACCAAGCAAGAGCGTTCCAAAAAACTCAAGGAAAAAAACCCACCGGGGCTTGCAAATCTAACATCCACAAAAATACTGCGTACCGTGTGGTTCCACACATAAACAGAACGGCGCACCACACAATGACTCACGCGATCTTCTGGGAGCCCCGGCAAGCGAGTGGTACATGGGGGCCCGGCAGAGCGAGCGCTATTTCTCCTGCATGTATAATTTAAATAGAGCGGCGGGGGTGGGACATTCTCACGTCGACAGCTGCGAGCCCATGCTGCTAGCACCTGCCTCCGCCGAGGCGTTTGAGACCACTGGGGCCACAACTAGCCACATGTCCCCCAACTCCCCCCCCCCCAACCCCGTCTTCTTTCATTCATTCACTCATTCACCGACGGAAAACCATTCATCCACGCCATGTACTTGTCGACAATGCTAATGGTGGGGGATTTTTTTTTTTGCAGTATAGGACGCTTAACAACATCGTACAAAAACACAAATAAAGGGACAAACAGCGTGGTGCGGGTTACCCGCACAGCGAGGAGAAGACCCTCGTTAAGCAGGGGAGTTGAGGCTGTACAATGGAATCTAAATGTCGACTTGAACCAACAACAGTAGCTGTCAACGCTAAGGTTTACACATATTCTTGCACAGGGGAAATTGAGTTTTCAGGGCCATATGGCATACAGCCGTTTTAATACTGGAAAACATTTGGTTTGTCTATTTGTTTGTGTGTCTCCCTTGCGATGGGACTTTGTAGGAAGACCGTTGAGATTTATAAGGGGACACGGGGTGATCAATAAGGTCTGAATTGGTCTGTAATAAGGTAGGGCACTAATAAGGGGTTGACAGGTATGAAACAACATTTGAGCATGAAAATCAAATTGTAACCCAAACGATCGTCACAATAATGATAATACACGCATTTGGTATTTGCCTCAATGAATACGGCGCAAGGTGGGTATAGAGTCCACCACAGTCGGGGTTTTACCCAATTAAGTAAATTACTACATTGGTGGGTAATGTTTACATTCGGCATATTTGGACCCAGGGCACACGTGGGGCCTAACCTCTTCTTATTCGAATGACATCGCGGGATCTGCGCCGCCCGCCGGAGAAGCGGATGGGCCGCGCAGTATTCGTGACGGAATAACAAACGTGCAGGGGGGGGGGGGGGGTAATATATTATAACCCGCGGAGTGAATCGCTCTCGCGTGGCTCCCCAAACCCACCCCCACCGTTTCTGCAGAGCGAGGCACTGTATCGCGGCGCAGGAAGCTATTCTTGGCAGTAAAAGTTGCTCGATGCAAGCGGCGGCGGTGGCGACACACGCCGTGTGTGCCCTCTGGAATGCGAGTCTCCTGGGCCGCGCGGCACTCGGCACGCCCAGACACCAGAATTAGCAGCACTGTACCCGAGCGGTACTTACTCCACCACGCCATGCCAAGCACAAGTCACAGTCTTGACTCGCGGAGAGAGACTAGTGTGCGAGTGTGTGTGTGCATTTGGGGGGGGCAGGGGGGTGGGGGAGCAGCAGTGTAGTGGTTAGAGCGCTGCCCGACGAACCCTGCGGCCCAAGTTCGATTCCCGCTCACGGCCAACACCAGTGACGATTATGTGAAGCGGTCCTGGGGCCTCCCCTAGGTCGACTCGGCCTCAAATGACTACCTGGTGTGGTGTGTAAACACCGCCACTGGAATACAAAGGCGGCCGGGCGTGGTGTTGGCCACCCACCCCCTCGTGTGCCATGCCAGCCCTCAGGTGCTCGCTAAACGCACTTGCCTCAAAAGTCTGTTCAGGCTATAACAGGGGATCTTTCTTTGTACTTACTTTCAGGCTGAGTCGCCCTAGGGGAGGGCCAGGATCAGTTTTGATAATCGCCACTGATGTGTGTGGATGGAACGGAACTGGGCTACAAAAAACTGGGAGCCCGAATTTTGATTCCCGGCCGTGGCCAACAGTGTTGATTATTTAAACCAGTCCTAGGCCTGCCTCATCTAAAGTCGACCGAAACCTCAAGTGAGTACCTGGGTGCGGTGTGTTTGTGTAAACATCAGCAATGGGGAGACGAAAGTGGCCGGTGTAACGTTGGCCAAACCATCCATTCCCCTCCTGTGGGCGCCATGCCAGCCTTCACCGCTTGCTCACTGCAAGCCCCAAAAGCCTGAAATGGGCGATGGAGGGAAGGGCTTTGTCTTTGTGTCTTTACGGCATGTCTTCATACTGCTGCCATCCCATGAAACCATCAATAAGACAAAATCAAAACAGCCACGGTGCGAACTTAAACACGACAGGTTTGGCAGGACGTGGAGACTTATCTCTCAAAGGTTGGTGACGTAATGCATCCCACACGTTGCCACTCACTGGCCTCGCTCTTCACAAAACTGATCGGTTGCTTATGTAGAAAAAAAAATAAACTCTTAAATTGTCAACTTCCCTTGATTCATGTCGTCGTAGGATCATTGAGGAGAATAATGAAGTGTGGATATGTGTTGCACAGCTGAACGAGTGCGGTATGAAACCCGGGCTGCTTTGTTTCACGAAAGAAAAAGATTACATCTAACCACAAACACGAGATGCGATTTTGGTTGCTGCAAAAGAGCAAAATAAATCTTGCAAATGTTGCAGATTTACTCTCCAACACACCAGTGTGCCATACTAGCAACGTATTAACATGTTCTGTTTACGTGACAAACCTGACTAACTGGCTTGTGTCGCGTGGTGGCGGATTTAACAACATATTTATATTTACGTGATCTTACCCAAAAAACGATTACGAACGTAAAACTTGCTTTCCTTTTTTTTTGCAAAGAAACATCCCCAAACAGTCATCTCAACAAGACCCCAAATGCGCTTGCATCCGACAAAAAAAAAACCATAAAACCTTGGGCACAAGTGCATGAACACTGCCACCTAATTAAACGTGGAAAATTAACGCTCCACTCCCGACGTTTCCACAATGATGGCGATTGTCGCACTGTTTGCCGCTTTAAGTTTACTACTACTACTCACGCTGTACGTTTTAACCTCCACAGAGAGGCATGGGGAGTGGGGTGGAGAGAGAGAGGCCACGGGGGAGCAAGGGAACGTGGCGGTTGGGGCAGGCGAAAATGAGGAAGGACGCTTCAAATCCAGACTCGAAGTCATTAGTGTGCAATGATGAGCGATGGGATCGACTAACGATGAGCAGCTTGTGGCAACGAATTGTCAGGCGATTGAAAGCCAAAGCTACAGCGGTAACACGGCCCCACTGGCCCGGCTACCGAAGCTCATTCATCTTCATTTAAAGCCTCAATTAATGGGGCCTGACTGATTTACACGTGCTACTCTTTAAGCAAATGTGCACGTCCGGCAGATGCCTTGCTCACAACACCGAACGCATCGCAGGAACCCACAGGTGCCGAGGCGAACCCGCCGAAAATAAAATGTGGCATTAAGGTGACGGGGCAATTCATAAAGGCCAATTATAAAATGAAAGGCTTGCGCTTTTTTTTTTACACAATCGATGACGAGTCGAAAGATTTCGGCGCCCATTTTAACGTATAAACACCAGGCCCACCAAATCATCTCAACTTTCCACTTAACCCAAGTCACGCGCGAGCGAATGTGTTTACAATAGAGGCGCACACACACGGTACATCATGCATTACACACACACAGCAGGCTATACAACGCGCCGTGAGTGGGGGGGGGAGATTCTGCTGCAAGTTATGGGATTTTCCTTTGACAATCAGCATTAAGTGTCTCGGCTTATTGTGGATAAAGACTGGGTTTCCATAGCCTGTCGTGGTCAACTCTTACGGACCAGGCTTAGGCGTTATAACAAGTGCTTTGGGAAGGTCAGGCTTTTAGGGTCACATCTAGGAATGGCGTTAAGGTCATATTTAAGTAGTGAAGCAATAGAGCAATATGGTTTCCCAGTAGAAGCAATAACAGGAGCAGCTGCAGCAGCAACAACATCAGTGCAGTATTAACAGTAGCCTGTTCTTTTAACAGCCGCAGAGGCAGCTGTACCTAGGTTTGAACTTCGCTCCAGATATGAACCTGACCCCACAGTGGCAGCAACAGCAGAAGCCACAGCAGCAACAGATGCAGCAGTCAAAGCAGTAGCAATATAAACACAAGAGACAGGAGCTGGATTTATAGCAGCAGCAACAGCGGCTATACCTACTGTACACGTGACCTTTATCCCAAGCCTAGACCCTACCCCACATCAAGAATACCAGATGCTGCAGCAGCAGCAACAGCAGCAGGATCCACAGCAGTAGCAGTCCTAACAGCAGCAGAATTGGCAGCAGCTGTACCTGCAGCTGCTGTAGGTAAGTAGTAGCGGCCGCCGCCACAGTTGCAACATCAGCACACTCATAACTCTTGAGCCCAACGCTCATAAAACCAGCATGGTGCGGCCCGAGAAACACAGCGCAAAAACGACCAGAGATGGAATCACTCACCCTCCGCTTGTTGGCAGCCGCTTCGTCAATCGCGGTGGCATCCTTGGGCATGGCGGTGGCCCCCGACAGCGCAGCCCCCTTGTCCATCAACCTCCCCGGTGAGGGCTTGATGGTGATCTTGATGGCAGGCCGGCAGATGTAGTTCTCCAGACTCTTGGGCGGCTTCTTGGCACGTTTGGCGGTGGTCTGGATCTTTAGCCGGAGGCCACCGCCGCCGCCGCCGCCGCCGCCACCACCACCACCGTTGCCGAGGGTGGAATCCCTGATGGAAAATCCGGCCGCCTCCCCCGAGTCGGGGTCGCGTCCAGGTTCACCACTGCCGTGCCCGTCAGCGTCCAGCCTTTCACTGGATTCGGGAGGCTCCACGCTGCCTGAGTCTCCTCCGCCACCACCACCGCCACCACACGGTGAGGCCGTCTCGGTGGCGGTGCCAAATTTATCCGGAGGAGGGCTCGTTGGCCGATCCATTTGAAAGCAGTAAGAGTACTAGTGGTAACAGCAGAGAGGTGTTTTAACGAAGGAATGCGTAGCGGGAGGATGAGGAGTTGTGAGTGAGCAGGGAGAGACGGACTGCCCAGCCACTGCCCCCCAGGGCAGGGCGAGCTGGGAGGAGGTCAGGGCCGATTTCGCGGTGCGGTCCCCTCTCTCTCGGTCGCCCCTCACCGCTGTCCACTGCCCGCTCTCTCGTAGTGCGTGCGGGTTCTCAGGCCCGCCGAGTCACCGGCCGCAGTCCGAGAAGACGCGTGGACTTGCCTTGATGAGATAACGAGCAAAAATACAGAAACCACGTACACACATACACACAGATACAGGCATAAAACACATGCAGAAAACACACGTACAAAAACAAAGACACACACACACCCACATACATACATACAAGCACATATACAAAATAACAAACAGAAACATACATACAGACACAAACACAAATATAGACCCTCACAAGCACACACACACACAGCCACAAATACACAAGCGCTCAAAGATGCACACAAGGGACACCGACAAATATAGATACGCACCAAAGTACAAACATGCAGACACACACAAACTCGAGTTAAATAAATCCAATACAAAGCATTTATATGTCCATTCATTACTTGACCTCCACCGCATTATAACAATGTCCTTTGTTTATCCAGGAAGGCCTCACTGGCACTGTTTACATGAAATAAAATAAACCGGCTAAGTGCAATCCTGTTGACCAGAAGGTTTAAACAAGGGCCAACCTCCTTGAGAAGGGTTATAATTTGCAATTCCCCATAAAGCATCTTGAGATGCTGTTGTGTTTGGGAGGCCGAATATAAATGATTGTTATTGCGTTTTTGGAATAATTGCAAATCTGTTGCAATTCTCATCTTATTGGCAGTTTTTGCCAAAGATTCGCACGCGCCAAAAAAAAAACTGCTCACCTCTCGATTTAAAGCTTTCGTGACTGCAGGGATTCATAGTCTTGGTTCTTTCTCCGTGGCTTTACCGAAAGAACCAAGAATATGTTCACCCCACGTGCGAAACGGCGGGTTTTATGCCGCTCACGATGTTTGGTCAATAACTCAACGAGCATGTTTCTGCAACGTGAGGAGACATTGAGTGTTTGAGCAAAGCCACACACACACACGAGGAAGTAACAAACGCGCATCACTAGTGTGTGTGTGTGCAATCAAAGGCCCGTGGCTCTCATGAGGCAACATCTCAGGGGAATATTAGCACTTTTCTCAACGAGCAAGAGTGAAAGTGTGATTTTACACCAAGGCTTTCGCAACTAATATTATTCATAATAAAGGCTTTTGGGTTTGATCGCGCAAGTATGTGTCGTAACACTCCATCATCCGACAGCCAGTAAAGTGTTTGTCACGTAAACAAAATGCGCCAATGAGTTACTACTTCAGCCTATTCTGGCAAATCGCCCGATGATGCTGGATGTAATTACCAGCGAAACGTCGTATTCAAATTGTAAATTTTATGGATTTACTTTCAAACACACAAAGCGGGCTGAAGAAGTAACCAATTGGCGCGTTTTGTTTACGTGACAAGCCTTTTTGGCTGTGTCGGGTGGTGGAGGGTAAAACGACGCATTTATATTTAGATTTAAAGCTTTCGTGACTGCAGGGATTCATATTCTTGGTTCTTTCGGTAAAGTCACCAAGTAGAAGGGAAACAATAAAATAATAAAAACAATAACATTCTCACGACGGTTCGATTGCAACACAAGCAATCATCATCAGGTGTGAAAACCACAGCAAGAACATTTCTTGCTGTGGTTTTTCTACGCGACTTTTACTGAAAGAACCAAGAATATGACGCATTCACACCTAAGCGATCTAACCCAAAAACCTTTATAATACGAGTGAAAGTGTGATCTACAACTATAAGTGACCCAGCTTCCTCTCTCTGCTGCGACTAACATCCGCAGACCAAAACGTCGGCCTGATAAATGTCCAAGAGATTCGCCTTGTGACCAAAAAATCACCCCAGTGAATCAACCACTCTCATCAGATCCCGTAATCTAAAGCAGATTACCACGGGCCTGGATGTCGCTTCGACGGATGATGTCCATTCGCCTTGCGCACCAGGAAATCGCAGGCGGCTGCAGAGCTATCCCATGTGGTCAGAAGCAGAGGGTGGTGGTGGTGCAGCTTGAATGGGTGTTGTTACTAAACGTCAATATTCCCAAGTCTATACGATCTTCGTGTTCGTGTTCAAACACCTCCACCACCACCCCCGCCCATTCCGCCACGGAGTTTGGAGGAGGCCTTCGTCCAGAAAATTGACTACGGCAGTGTTAATGCCAAGCGTTTGCAATTCTTAAGGCAACATCATCCTACGAGGTTTTATTTAAAGTGGGCAAAGTGTCGTTTTAATGGGTGACGAAAGGCGAATCCCTGACCCCAACTCAACTTCTGAACCCGGCAGCGCCGAGCTGTTTAGTTCAATCTAGGGTCACGGGCCCTCAATGCGAGCTCTCTAATGGTAAATAAGCTTATTATCTCATCACCATTATCCTCGTCGGTGTAACAATAACAACTATTAGGGGCACAAACCACAGTGCCAAGCATTGCTGCTGCTTCTGCTGCATAGGTTAAACGACTCGTGCCGTCAATAACAACGATAATCATATTCCGATCATCACGAATATGCATTGCAGCGTTGTACTGATTATATTGTTGCGTTCCGTTCACGTATACAATTGCTGTACAGTATATATATTGAAAAAAAACGTTCTTGAGGTAAAAAAAAATGTTTAACGACGTTACCGGGTAGACGTTTCGGCCAGCCGACCTACGTCAGCGAGAATATACCCACGACAACCGCCGATAATGAGACAATTAAAATAAGGTCCATTAGGGGGGCTTTTCTTAGGGGGGGTGGGGGGGGGTTCAGATCGTGTAAATGTGTGTCGTTAAACCCGCCACCACTCGACACTTCTACTTACATTATAAAAAAAGGTTCGTCACGTAAACAAAACGTGCCAATTGCTTACCAGTAGCACAACAACACAGCAACACACAGCAACACACACAGCAACATACACCAACACAGCACACAAACCAACACACAGCAACACAACACACACACAGCAACACACAGCACACAGCAACACAGCAACACACACCAGCACAGCAACACACACCAGCACACAGCAACACACAGCAACACACACCAACACACACCAGCACACAGCAACACACCAACACACAGCAACACACCAACACACAGCACACACAGCAACACACACCAGCACACAGCAACACCCCAACACACAGCAACACAGCACACACAGCAACACACACCATCACACACCAACACACAGCAACACACCAACACACATCAACACACATCAAGACACAGCAACACACAGCAACACACAGCAACACAGCACACACAGCAACACACACACACACCAACACAGCACACACACCAACACAGCACACACACCAACACACAGCAACACAGCACACACACCAACACACAGCACACACACCAACACACAGCAACACACACCAACACAGCAACACACACCAACACACACCAACACAGCAACACACACCAACACAGCACACACAGCAACACACACACACACCAACACAGCACACACACCAACACACAGCAACACACACCAACACACAGCAACACACACCAACACACAGCAACACACACCAACACACAGCAACACACACCAACACACAGCAACACACACCAACACACAGCAACACACACCAACACACAGCAACACACACCAACACAGCAACACACACCAACACAGCACACACCAACACACACCAACACAGCGCAACACACAGCAACACAGCGCAACACACAGCAACACACACCAGCACACAGCAACACACCAGCACACACCAACACACAGCAACACACCAACACACAGCACACACAGCAACACACACCAGCACACAGCAACACCCCAACACACAGCAACACAGCACACACAGCAACACACACCATCACACACCAACACACAGCAACACACCAACACACATCAACACACATCAAGACACAGCAACACACAGCAACACACAGCAACACAGCACACACAGCAACACACACACACACCAACACAGCGCACACACACCAACACAGCACACACACCAACACACAGCAACACACACCAACACAGCACACACACCAACACACAGCAACACACACCAACACACAGCAACACACACCAACACAGCAACACACACCAACACACACCAACACAGCACACACACCAACACAGCACACACAGCAACACACACACACACCAACACAGCACACACACCAACACACAGCAACACACACCAACACACAGCAACACACACCAACACACAGCAACACACACCAACACACAGCAACACACACCAACACACAGCAACACACACCAACACACAGCAACACACAGCAACACACACCAACACAGCAACACACACCAACACAGCACACACCAACACACACCAACACACAGCAACACACACCAACACACAGCAACACACACCAACACACAGCAACACACACCAACACAGCAACACACACCAACACAGCACACACCAACACACACCAACACAGCGCAACACACACCAACACACACCAACACAGCGCAACACACAGCAACACACACCAACACACAGCAACACAGCGCAACACACAGCAACACACACCAACACAGCAACACACAGCACACACACCAACACACAGCACACACACCAACACACAGCAACACACAGCAACACACACCAACACACACCAACACAGCAACACACAGCAACACACAGCACACACACCAGCAACACACCAACACAGCACACACACCAACACAGCACACACACCAACACACACCAGCTGTGCGTTGGGAGAGTAACCCCCCCTCTCCCCACCAACTACGCACCGTTTACAATTCCGAGTACGACGTTTCGCCGATGATTAAACACGATCCCGCATTCGGCACACACGTGCACTCGCATTTACGACGGCCGCTCAACGCGATCGAGATAAACGTGAACGCCGAGAGGAGGTTTTAGATGCAACGATGAGAGAGAGAGGAGGGTGGTGAGGGGTGGTGGCAAGAGGAGGTGAAACTCACGGACTCGATTCCGCCTCATGACGGACGAAGGAGACGGAGGAGACGGCGCCGCACAATCACAAATCTCTGGCCGGGTGTAAGGAGCCATTCATTTAAGGACACGTTTTAATAATAAAAAAAACTAAAAATGTATAATTTGCTTTCTATAGCGAGGAAGACAAACGGGCCACCGCCACCGTCACCGCCGCCACCATCTACATCCATCGACCTAACACCAACAACAACAAACCGCGCATTAGTCGGCTGCTTAGTGCTGTCAATGGTAAAAACAGTCGCATGTTTTAACGTAGAATTAATGAAGACGCGGGGAGGTGAGGGGCGGGGCTGGTGCGGGGGGAGGCGGGGCCAGTGGCGGAGGGGGGGGGAGGAGACGGGGCCCCCCTCCCCTTTCTCTGGCCGCCCCCACACTCTATAGGCCCCGCCCCTCGCGCTACATCCCATGGCGCGGATTGACGCGGACCGCCGTGTCGCTGTATCCCATTGGGCAATGGTCAGCCACGTGACGCCGCCAGGCCCAATAAGAGCCGCCGTAACATCGAGGGCTGCCGAACAGCTGTAGGGATTTCGCGGCGCGGATTTTTTTAAATCATTATTATTATTAAATACCGCGAGCGAGCCGCAATGTGCTGGCCGCTGCTGCTGTTGGCCCCCGCCGTGTTTTTATTTATTTCTTTTTTTTAAATATTTTTTTTCCCCCCCACAAACACACCACACCACACACACACACCCCCGCCCCAATCATCATCGCACAAAAAAAACCACACGGGAGCTTAAATTAAACACGACGTACGAGTGAAAGCATCGGCAACGTGCAGAAAACACCAGCGGTCATATGCCCTTAAAAAAAAAATATACACATGCTAAATGTAAAAAGTGAGAAACGTGATGCGGTGCACGGGCAGTGCGAGCAGGGGGGGGGGGAGGGGTGGAATCCTACCGGAGCCATTTTAAAACGACGAGGCGAAATGGCGGCACCTCCCCGCCGCGCCGCCTTCCACATTCCCCAGCGCGGATAGGCCACGCGCGCCCACACCGCCATTGGCCCGAGGGCGCATCACGTGGGGTGTGGCGCGCCGAGCCAATGGCGTTAAGGCAAGAGTGCGCCCCCGGCGGGCGCGAGCGCGGTGGGGAATTTAAAGGCGGGGAGGAGTCCGAGCTTACCCGGCCACACCCCCTCCCTCATTAGCATATAAGATTCCACCGGATATTTGGTGGCCCCCCGCCCATTGTCTCATCGCCCCGCCTATATGAGGGTGGAGCCCCGCTCAGACTCCGCCTTACGATCCCGCCCACTTACTATTGTCCCCGCCCACTTACTACTTTGACCCGCCCGTTTGCTGCTTGGACCCGCCTATTTGCTATTTCGCCCCGTCCACTTGCTACTTGTCCCCACCCACTCGCTGCGTGGTCCTGCCCACTTGCTACTTGGCCCCGCCCACTTGCTACTTGGCCCCGCCCATTGACTCCACCTACCACTCACACAGAACACTCAATAACGTTCGTCAACAACACTTTGGCATTCAAAATATACAAAAGGCGGGTAAGCCAGACACGTCTCCCATCTGTTACCACATTTAATCGCATTCCACGTGTCGGTAATTGTATAAAGTCGACGTTTCGAGCCAAATGGCTTTAACTATGAAAGAGTAATTTCCCGAAACGTCGCCTGTGATACACTTTTCCTTTCCAGGCCATAGTGTTATTGAAAAAACAGGAGGATTTCTCCACATATCTGGCTGTCGCCTGATGATGCTGGTTGTACTTAGTGGCGAAACGTCGTACTCATTGTAAATGCAGTTGATTTACTCTCCAACACAACCGTTGTGCTGAACTAGTAACCAATTGGCACTTTTTTTTAAAGTGACAACCCTTACTAATTGGTTGTGTTGGGTTGGTGGCGGGTTTAACGACACATTTATATTTACGCGATCTAACACCCCCCCCCCCCGCCCCCTCAATTAGTTGCAGCAACAGCAGCGGCAGAATTACCAAGAAAATGTGGCACACTTTAAATAATTTTTTTCGTCATTTGGCCACATGGCCTCCCAGCTTTGAACCTTTTCCTACACCACATCAATTCTAGACATCCCGCCATCAAATTCACCATGGAAGTGGAGAAAGATGGCAAGCTACCATTCTTGGATGTTCTGTTTGAGAGGAGACCTGATGGCTCATTGGGGCATTCTGTCTACAGGAAATCCACCCACACAGATTCCTACTTGAAGCCTGATTCCCACCACCACCCAGCTCAAAAGAATTCTCTCATCAAAACGTTATACCACAGGGCTCATTGCATTTCGGACCAACACCACCTGACCAGTGAATTAAAACATGTACACCTGGCCCTCAAAAGGAATGGATACTCTGACCGTACCATCCGCCAAGCTGTTTCTCCCTCCATACAGAAACAAGCACTTGATACTCCGGTCAAAACCATCACACTACCATATATAGCAGGCGTTACTAAAAAGATCTCCATAATTCTAACCAAACACAAGATCCTGGTCCGGTTCAATACAGTACACAAAATCCGTGACTTGATCCCAGCCGTGAAAGATGTCATTCCTGACTTACAGTACCCCGGGGTTTACAAATTGAGCTGCACTTGTGGTGATTGCTATATCAGGGAGACGAAGCGACATGTCTCTGACCGAATTCGCGAGCACAAATCAGATTTGAAACACGGTAGAACCAATTCTTCTGCCGTGGCTGACCACTTACAACGCTGTGGTGATCACGATATAGTGTTCTCCGATACCAAGGTCCTTTGCAAACCTATAGGTTATCATCAGAGATTTGTCCACGAGGCAATTCAGATTTACAAACACAGACACAATTTCAACCGAGAAGATGGTTTCAAATTAAGCAATCATTGGAAAGATGTTCTAAATCATACCAAACATTAAACTAATTTTCAATGGAACAGTATATTTATCCAAGTAGTGATATACCAAACTTTCACAGCAGCTAATTTCCCTTCAAAACAACGTTTGTAAACTCCCCTCCCCCTTCCCCCCCGTGTTAGGTGCTCTATCAGCACTTTATGCTAATTCCTTTGTCAAAGCGTTTGGTTTCCTCCCACACAGCTTAAAGGACGCGACCTGGCTTGACTTTCTTAACTCCAACGCTGTCTTCGTGACAGCACGGTCCCTTCACCTGATGAAGGCCACTTGTGTTGTGGCCGAAACGTCGTGATTTTTGTTGTTTTATTTTTTACCTACGTGACTTTACCGAATAGAACCAAAGAGTATGGATCCTTGCAGTCACGAAAGCTTCAAATCTAGAATTTTTTTCAGCTTCATTTTTTTTATATAGCCCTGTGAGCAATTCGGCTCTTGAATCGGGTGCAACCACAATAAACAAAAAAAACATGAACAAGAAAACATCTTAAAGTGACTTTGTGCAAACAAAAAATCCAGGAAAAAACAGCAAAATATTCCTGAAAAAGCACCGTACACCAACGCTGTGTGCAAGAAATCCCAGTGGGATGCAAGTCAAACAACAACAACAACCACAAGACAACTTAGATTAAGGCCATCAGTGTAACTCCGTACTACAACAAACACACATGGCCAAACCAAAAAAAACGTTTTCGAAATCACCAAAATAAAACCATAAAAGCAATGTAACAACAGTGATCATAGGAACTGTGACCGAATTTCACAATAAACGACATAAACAACATGTACCACCAAACCCTGCAGCCACAGCTGGCTGCATGAGTCACTCCACAACAACAGGAGCATCAGTCGGACGCCAGATGCACAAGTGGATCATTAAATAAAGACCGTCTCCCTCCTTGCCTGTGTGCCACTGAGCCTACAAACTCCAAACCGTGAGCCACAAGTACCGCGTACTGACCCGTATGGGGCCGTCCATAAATGACGTCACGTGATTTTTGACCCCCTACCAAATATGACGTCACAAAGCTCTGCCCGCCCCCCCCCAAAAACCATATTTCCATTTTGAAAATAAAACATGCTTTAAATCGCTTTAAACTATTGTCATTGTAGTGCGTATTTAATGTGGCGCTGCACTCTGATGTTGTAGGAGAAAACATTTATTTAAAAAGTCTATTTAATTAAGTAGAACGTGCTGTCTATATTTATTTAAAGTTTCGCATTTTGATGTGACGTCACATTTCTCAAACTCCTCGTCACACATCGTCACAAATGTCTGACCCCCCCCCTCCCCCTAGGTGGTGCGTGACGTCATTTATGGACGGCCCCTATAAACACTCACAGACGGCGAGTCGGTTGAGTGTGTGGGTGATCATCTGAACCGGCACCTGGGCCTCCCCTAGGTCGACTCAGCCTCAAACGATGACCTGGTGTGAACATCGCCACTGGGGAGACAAAGGCGGCCGGGCGTGGTGCTGGCCACCCACCCCCTCGTGTGCCGTGCCGGCCTTCATAGGTGCTCGCTAACAGCACTTGCCCCTACAGTCTGTTAAGGCTACACGGGGGATCTTTGTCTTTGTGTGTGGTATTAAAAAAAAGAATAGTCTCAGGACTGTGATACACAACGGCCCTCTCTTGTGAGCGTCACGTCCATTGTAAAGCGACGTGTTTCTTTATGGCTGACCAACTCATAGTATTAATCGGGGCAGCCGCTGGTGTCGAACCGTGACCCTCTGCAGAAAGATACAATTTTGAAGGGGGGGGGAAAAACCCCCTATCGTGTTGGGTGCTTTCTTGAATCCATCTGTGCGGACTGCCATCTGCTGGATCACCACTGCCAACGCAGGGAGCAGTAGCAAATGTCACCACCACCACCAACACCACCACCAAATAATCGTGCGATATTAGGAATGATGTGTGCCTGAGTGGCAGCGAACCTAGCTGGGTAAACTGGATGCAAAGTGATTTTCCGTGTGTGACAAGTAACATTGAGTTGTTGCATTGAAACGATGGAATAAGTTCGGGAGGCATTGATTGACAAGTAAGAACGATATTCTTAAAATCCAAGAGAATATAAAAAAAACCTTTAAAATCCTCGAAATGTCGTGGCAGGATGGCTACTGTTTGGGCTTCCCTCTCCATAACAAACAATAACTCGGTTGGTTGTGAGTGGCAGCCAACATAGCTGGGTAAACTGGATGTCAAAGTGATTTTCCGTGTGTGACAAGTAACATTGAGTTGTTGCATTGAAGCCGTAAGAAAAAAGTTCGGGAGACATTGACAGTGAGAATTGTATTCTTAAAATTCTAGAGAATTACAAAAAAAATAATGCAATGCATATTATCTTGCCGCTTTATTGCATAAAAATCAGATAACAAATAATCTCACGAGAATCGAATGCAATTGATTCTGTCCGCACGACCGATGAATATACATTGCAACCTCGTGGCTGCATTGGTGAGTGTGAATGTACTTTGCAAGTGCACTGCGTTACTTTTATTCGTCAGTTATTATTTTCAATACAATACGGTAAAAAAGAAGGTGCAATTGTTGTCAATAGAAATTGTCTTTGTTTATAATATAAATAAAACGTTGTTAATTGTTTAGAGTATGAGATGGTAAGTTACGAAGGCTGGGAAACGCAACCTCACCGTACAAATGTTTCCGTTTTTCAATACCGCAGGCGAAGAAGTTTCAATGCGCGAACGACGCTCCAGGAACGCATCTCTGTCGCATATCGAGGTATACGATGTGAATCGTCGGCCTATAGATTCACCCCCCCCACTATCCTCGGACCGCCCACCACCGCCTCCACTACCCCCCCACTACCCCCTACCGCCCCTCCCCTATCACACCACCACCTCGCACTATCCCCCCACCGCCCCCCCACTATCTCCCCACACCCCCCCCACTACCCCCCACCGCCCCCCTATCCCACCACCGCCCCCCCAATATCCCCCCACTGCCCCCCCACTATCTCCCCACAACCCCCCTCCAACTACCCCCCACTGCTCCGGACTATCACCCCCCCCCCCCCCACTATCTCCCCACAACCCCCCCCACTACCCTCACCGCCCCCCACTAATGCCCCCACCTCCCTACCATTGGTAACCGCCGCACGTGACTGCCCCTAGCGACCACTGATTGCACCCCCCCCCCCCCCACAATGCAACGCGTCCCCACCACTGCAAAGATGGCTGCGCCCAGGGCGTACACGGCCACGCTCTCCAGGCTGCCTGCAGGTGCGGACCCGCGGACTCCCCCTTCGCTTCCCCCGGGAACCTGACCCGGGCTCCAACCCTATAGCTTGCCCCCCCCCCCCACCTTAGCGTCCTAACCCCAATGCCCCCCCCCCCTCCTCCTTCGCCCGCTGTCATCTCACCGCCGATCAAGCTGGCGGGTGGTTGCATTCCCCGGTGACCTCGGCTCGCGATAGACCTTGGCGTGTACGGCGCTGACTGACTGAGGTTGTTGTGATTGTGGCTGCAAGTGTTGCGTTGTTTAATAACCACTTGGTGGTGGGTGGTGGGGGGTGGGGGCGAAAAGCAACGGCGGTTCTATGAGGAGACTTGTCCCCCCCCCTCCGCCATAAGAATGTGGAATGTTCAGCACTGCCTCTGCAGGTGCGCGCCATTGCCTCGCTTGGATTTTCCTGCGGCAGTTCGTGTCGTCGTCGCTCTCGTTAAAGCTGCTGGGCGAAGTGCCCTAGCTGCCGTCATTGCTTTCGTCTTGCTGGTGACCCAGGGTGAATCTGCCGTTCACCTCAGTCGGGTCAACCCATGGCACCAGGTGCTGTCCCGTCACCTCCTGTCAGGGAGCCTTTTTTTTCTTTCGTGACGCTTTCACGTGTGGCCCTCAAGGCGCACCTCACAGCCTGGTGACGTCTCCGTCACTGGGTGGCGAGCGGCGCTTTGGGATATTTCGGGGCAGTCGGGATTATGCAAGGCACCCATCGCCCCCCCCCCCCCCCGGCTGCGATAATTGGTAGGTCCCTCCTGAAAAAGAGTCCAGACTCGGTGATGGATACACATCGTCGTCATTACAAAACTTCAAAACTAGATTATTACAATACCTATGTACGTATGTTGGACTTATTTCGCACCGCACGTAGCCAACCTTGTTAATGCAGTACCTTAGCCCATCACTATCCAAAGTATTCAACCGGACGCTAGCCATGATCCATCAGCCCCATCTCTGGTGCTGAACCCCCCCCCCCCCCCATTTCGCCGTGCGGTTTAATTTTCACGTTTGACGTTCACACGACGTCCGCTGTTGTTTCAGGCATGGCGCTGTTCAAGTCCTTACACGTGAGACTGCGAGCAGATCAGCTGGTGAGTTCCGTGCAGCATCAATTTACTCAAGCGACTTAGTGGTTGAACTTAAAAAAAATAAAAAGTCCAATCTAATCCTGATTGTGCCATCGGTGTCATGCGTTGAGATTAACTCTCAATATTGCAGTATGAACCGTGAAAGTTAATACCACAGAACTACGTCTCCACACGGCAGAAGAACGGAACTTGACCAACAGTGCCGCCACTGAGAGTAACGTTCATCGCATGACAGACAGACTGATATTTCTAAGTCTCATCGTAGCTGGGATTTTGCAACATTGCGCGTGATTGCAACGCAGAACCGAATTTGATGCGATGGGTTTATTTTTCCAGTCATTGGTGACGGGCTCCACACTTGAGAGTCCAGTTTAATCGCAAGCGTTTGCAGCCTGGATATTAACCCGGTGGTGACATGGCCAAGTGGTAGCGCATTCACAGCTTGTTGCAGAGGTTCATGGTTCAAAGCCAGTGGCCGCCCTGATTAATACCGCGCTGTGTAATAACCGTAGTCGTATTTCGTGCCGTCTGCTTCGATCACAGCAGACGTTAAAGATCCCATGACGTCACAAACAAGAGTTGGCCACCGGTGCCAGGGTCCAAACTTGCCGAATTCGAAAGTTACCCTCAAGTTACTCAACTGGGATTTTACACACATGTAGCAGCAATCATCACCCCCCTACTCGCATAACAATGCCTCAGGGTCACTCTTCCAAATGAGACTCATCCTTAATACAGGTCTTTTTTGGGTTAGGTCACGTAAATATGAATGTGTCGTTAAACCCGCCACCACCCGACACAGCCAATTAGTAAGGTTTGTCACGTAAAGAGAACAGGGCAATGTGTTACTAGTTCAGCACACCGGTGTGTTGTAGAGTAAATCCACAAAAAAACCTGTATTATGGATAATATTGGTCGTGAAAGCCTGCGTGTTAAACTGAGACTCATCCCGCTCTCTTGAGCTCTCACCTGGTTAAACACAATACATTTTTACTTAAAACTTAACCAACCCAGGATCTCAGCGGTGCCGGCTCAGCACGATCACCTCTGAGTCACCTGGCCTGACCTAATGATTAAACTTTTAATATACAGCAGGTCATTGAGACGAGAGTCTCCTTGTCCAAGGAGACCTGTGCTGCCCTTCCGACAAGTCCGTTGACCAGGCATGCATAATCCCGGGTACCGATTGGTTGTCTGCGGAGCTTTGGCACAGTGGTTAGCACATGACCTGGCTACACAAGTTCGATTCTCGGCCACGGCCAGCATCCGTGGTGAGCGGTATCTTAAGCAGGCCCGGAAGTTGCCTCCTCTTCACCAGCATGGGCTGAGCGGCGTGGTGACATATGGTAAGGCCTCTATCTAGCTGTGGATTGGGATAGCCTGGGAAGGTTTTTCATCCAGCGGTGGAGTTACAAACGGAGAGCTGGGTTTAAAATCGATACATCAGACAGCAGCGGCCAAATCAGCGTAAATCTTTTTTTAATTATTATTTAGGATATTAAAATCAAAACACTGAAATTAAACAAACGATTGCGGTGCTTAACAATACAAAACGGGGAACAACTTGCATCGTAATATAAAGCCGGACCAGTACAACAAGGAAATGACAGAACAATTCGTCACGATTTGATACAGTTACAACTAATATAAATACACATCTGGAGCAATATGTATCGCTATTCTTTTTAAGTTTGTAACAATCAGGGCCGCGGTTTGACTTCAAATATATATTATTTGTTTCACATTGTGGTGAACGTTTCGCTGAGGGTGAATCGTAATTGCAGCCGTGGCTTCCAAATCTCTGAACAGGAACAAAATAACGTTTGAAAAAGATTGGAAACTGATCTAAATGCTGGAGTAGTGGTGAGGGAGGGGTGGCGTTGGGGGGGGGGGGGCGATGTACTTTAATAAAACGAGGCGCATGAGTGGCCGTGGACAAAAGAAATTATTTGAAATTCAGAATAGATGACAAAGAGGCCGCTTATTTTAATCCCATACTGATTCTGGTGTCTGGCATTGTAAAGCCACACCTCTGGGGAGAAGGGCCCTTTAATCTGCCCCCCACACCACGGCGCTACGGCCTGGAGAAGCCAATTACGACGCTGGCCGCTCGCGTGCAAAGGTGGCCCCGGTTGATAGGGCCTCACGGGTGGTCACGCCGGGCCCCGGCGCCAGCAAAGTGCGCCTGCCGTCAAACGGATCGTTTGGCTTTAAAAGGACGCTGCTTGCCATGGCGGTGTGACGGTGGTTGCCGGTTCGATTCCATCTTCCCGGCCAAAGTTGGCGATTGAAACAACGGGGGCGATTTTCTTAAATCACCGCTCCCCCTCCCTTCGATGCCTCTGTCCGCTAGAAGTATAAATCTTCGCACCACAGTCTATCGGTAGGTCGCCTGCAGTGCCGTAAACTGGACTTGCGATTGAAGGGATCTCGGCAGAAGCTCAGTGATATCCACGTTCTCTAACGACAGGGGTTTCGTGGCTCTGTGAAATTCTATTCTTGCTTGTGATGGTAGCAGCAGCAATGTGTTCAGTATCTCGATGTCAATGTCGAGCTCTGCTGGCCACGACAAGAGGGCTTCAGCAGAGATAATGTTCATGCATAGTCTTGGTTCTTTCAGTAAGTCACGTAGAAGGGAAATAATAAAAATATAAAATTCTCACGACGTTTAGACTGCAACACAAGCAATGATCATCAGGTGTGAAAACCACAGCAAGAAAATTTGAAAAAAGTGGCGTTTTTTTAACGTTAGCACCACGGAGAGCGATTTGGCAGTTATTCAGATGGACGAGTCCATCTATGTTCGGAAAAGAGGAGGGGGGGAGACGAAAATAATGTATGCGGTCTGAAAGCCACCATAAGCATGAACAATCAATTAAGACCCTAAATGGTTTATCAAATCCTTCCAAGGATTGCTAAGCCAGAATCCATCTTCTCGGTTGAAATTGTCTCTGTTTGTATATGTGGATAGCATCATGAACTAATCTCTCATGGTAGCCAGATGGCTTGCAAAGAACCTCTGTCTTGGAGAAGTCAATGTCATGTGAGCCTACTGAGTTATAACAGTGATCTGCCACGGCCGAGGTGTTGGTCCTACCGTGTTTTAGGTCTGCTTTGTGTTCACGAATGCGGTCCGAGACATGTCGTTTGGTTTCTCCAATATACCTACTACCACAGAGGCAACTTAGTTTGTAGACGCCAAGGTACTGTATGTCCGGAATAACATATTTTACAGACGGAACCAGATCACGGATTTTATGTAATGTGTTGAATCGGACCTGGATCTTGTGTTTATTCAAGATTTTGGAGATCTTTTTTTTTATCCCCGCAATGTAGGGTAAAGTGATGGTTTTGAAAGGCTCCTCAAGAGGGTCCTTTTTCATGGTTGGAGTGATAGCTTTGCGGATTGTGTAGTCTGAGTAACCATTAGCCTTAAGAGCTTGGTGTACGTGCTTGAGTTCACTGGCTATGTGTTCCTGGTCGGATATGCATTGGGCTCTATGGTGCAGAGTCTTGATGAGGGAATTCTTCTGGGATGGATGGTGGTGGGAATCCGGTTTCAGGTACGCATCTGTATGGGTAGCTTTCCTGTAGACAGAGTGGCTCATTGAACCATCAGGTCTCTTTTTTATTAGGACATCCAAAAAAGGTAGCTTGCCATCTTTTTCGACTTCCATGGTAAATCTGATGGCTGGGTGTATGGAATTGATGTGGTCGAGGAATTGGTCTAGAGCAGGCCGGCCATGTGGCCAGATGACAAAAGTGTCATCTACGTACCTCTTCCATAAGGTTGGGCGCAGAGTGGCAGTCTGGATGGCGTCAGTCTCAAATTTCTCCATGAAAATGTTGGCTACAACCAGAGATAGGGGGGAGCCCATTGGGGTGCCCTCAGTTTGTTTGTAGAAAGTTCTATTCCAAGTGAAGTATGTATTGGTTAAGCAGTGTCTCACCAGGGGGGGGTACCTCAGTGTTTAGTCGTTGATGAACCAAGTCTAATAGTGACGAAGTGGCACGTTCTGTTTACGTGACAAACCTTACTAGTTGGCTGTGTCGGGTGGTGGCGGGTTTTAATTATACATTTACGCGATCTAACCCAAAACCTCTATTATCGATTGCCCATAGACTAACATTTCCCATCAACTAAAATTTCCCATAGACTAATGATTTTACAAACGGTCCATGAAGAGCCGAGCGAACTCTTGCTCTTCATGACGCCGATAGCAGCGCAGGATAAAACCAGGATTGAATTTTACTCAATTTACGAACAGTTACGGAGACTCGGGTAGGAGCACGAAGTGGGCCCCGGGTGCCGTGACCGGCGTCTTGCAGTGCCGTTTTTGTCGCGATCCGGCACCCTCCGTGGGATTTACGCGGGGGGGGTGGGGGGGGGGGGTGTGCGGAGAGGGGGGCGCCCTGGCAAAAACTCGGTGACGAGTGGCGCCGCTAATGAATCGCCAGAGCCCACGGGGAGCTCTGGGAAATCTGCGCGAGCGCTCGGACGCTCGGGGAGACGAGGCCGGTGGGGGGGGGGGGGTTGGAAGGCAACCGCAAAAGAGGAGGTGGGGGGGGGTTATTGATCGATTGAGTCGAGGGAGGAAAGAGAGAGCGCTACCGCGTGGTGTGGCCACGTGTGTGTGTGCAGGCAGGGTGGGGGAGGAGCTGTCGGGGCACTTGCCCCAACAGTCTGTTGAGGCTACATGGTGGAGCTTTGTCTTTGTTGTATATTATTCGGAGCGGTTAGCGCGCTGCGCTACGAACCCGGCAACCCGAGTTCGATTCCCACTCACAGTCAACACCAGTGACGATTATCTGAACTGGTCCTTGGCCTCCCCTAAGTCGACTCGGCTTCAAATGAGTACCTTGTGCAGTGTGTATAAAACATCGCCACTAGGGGAGACAAACGCGGCCGGGCGTGGTGCTGGCCACTCACCCCCTTTCTGTCTAGTGCTGGCCTTCATAGGTGCTCACTAACAGCACTTTCCCCAACAGTCTGTTAAGGCTAT